AAACCCTAAGGATTCAACCAAGAGACTCCTTGAATTGATAAATGAATTCAGTAAAGTCTCAGGATACAAAATCAATATACAAAAATCAAAGGCATTGGTGTACACCAATAACAGTAAAACCGAGAACCAAATCAAAGACTCAATACCCTTCACAATAGCAACAAAGAAAATAAAGTACCTAGGAATATATTTAACTAAGGAAGTAAAAGACCTCTACAGGGATAACTATGAAACATTGAGGAAGGAAATAGCAGAGGATGTAAACATGTGGAAAACCATACCATGCTCGTGGGTTGGCAGAATCAACATTGTTAAATTGTCTATATTACTCAAGGTGATCTACAGATTCAATGCAATCCCTATTAAAATACCAACACCATTTTTTGAAGATATAGAAAAAATAATTTTATGCTTTGTATGGAACCAGAGAATACTCTGTATAACAAAAGCCATCCTAGGCAAAAAAATAAAATAAAATGGGAGGCATCAATTTACCAGATTTCAAACTATACTACATTGCTATAGTAATTAAAACAGTATATTACTGGCACAAGAACATGGAAATAGAGCTTTGGAACAGAATTAAGAACCCAAATATAAAACCAGCCCTCATATAGCCACCCAATCTTTGACAAAGCAGACAAAAACGTACACGGGGGAAAGAATCCTTATTCAATAAATGGGAAAACTAGATAGTCACATGTAGAAGACTGAAAAAGGATCCACACCTTTCATCTCTCACAAAAATCAACTCACACTGGGTAATAGACTTAAATCTAAGCTGTGAAACTATTAGAATTCTAGAGGAAAACACTAGAAATACTCTTCTAGACATTGGCCTAGACAAAGAATTTAAGAAGACCCCAAAGGTAATCACAGCAACAACAAAAATAAATAAACGGGACCTGAACAAATTAAAAAGCTTCAGCACAGCCAAAGAAACTGTCACTAGAGCAAACAGCCAATCTACAGAATGGGTTGCGCCTGTAATCCTAGCACTCTGGGAGGCTGAGGCGGGCGGATTGCTCGAGGTCAGGAGTTCAAAACCAGCCTGAGCAAGAGCGAGACCCCGTCTCTATATATATAGAAAAAATTAGCCAGGCATGGTGGCACATGCCTGTAGTCCCAGCTACTTGGGAGGCTGAGGTAGGAGGATCGCTTGAGCCCAGGAGTTTGAGGTTGCTGTGAGCTAGGCTGACCGGCCACGGCACTCACTCTAGCCTGGGCAACAAAGTGAGACTGTCTTAAAAAAAAAAAAAAAAAGACAGAATAATGGCCAACAAACATATGAAAAAATGCTCTACATCTCTAATCATCAGGGAAATGCAAATCAAAACTGCAATGAGATATCACCTATTTCCAGTGAGAATGGCCTTTATCAAAAAGTCCCAAAATAATAAATTTTGGCGTGGATATGGAGAGACAGGAACATTCCTACACTGCTGGTGGGACTGCAAACTAGTGCAACCTCTGTGGAAAGCAATATGGAGATACCTTAAAGAGATACAAGTAGATCTACCATTTGATCCAGCAATCCCAGCAAAAACCATACAGGACAGGAGAGAGTAGGATGACACATTCAAAGTGCTGAAACAAAAAAACAACCCAAACTTGCCAATTGAAAATACTGTACCCAGCAAAGCTATCCTTCAAACATGAAGGGGAAATAAAGTCTTTCAGACAAACAAAAGCTGAAGGAATTTATCACCACTAGACTTGTCTTACAATAAATGCTAAAGGGAGTTCTTCAATCTGAAATAAAGGACACTTCATGCAAAACAAAATTAAAAAACCACAACACATTTGAATGTATAAAACCCAGTGCTAAAATTAAGTGCACAAACCCAGAATAATTGAATACCATAACTGTATTGTGCAATCCACTCATAACTCTAGTATAAAGCCCAAAAGACAGATCTATCACAAATTATAACAGCTACAGCAATCTGCTAAGAGACAGGCAATATAAAAAGATGTAAATTGAGATGAGTTAAAATGTGTGTGGGGGGTGGAGTTAAATTACAGCATTTTTTAAGCTTTTCCTTTATTTCTATTCTTTTCTTTGTGATCAAAAATAAGCTTTTGTCTGTTTAAAATAACTTGTCATATCTACAAGATGTTTTTTGTAAGCCTCATGGTATCCACAAAACAAAAACTTATAACTGATACACTAAAAAACAAAAAACAATGAATTAAAACACTTAACCAAAAAGGAAGAAAATCACTTAACAACAAAGGAAAACAGTAAGAAAGGAAGAAAAGCAAGAAAGGAGTTACAAATCAACCAAAAACAATTATCAAAATGGCAGTAGTAAGTCCTTACCTAACAATACTAACATTATATGTAAACGATCTAAATTCTCTACTTAAAAGACAGAGTGGCTGAACGGAAAAAGAAAAAAATAAACAATACCCAACTATATGCTGCTTACAAGAAACTTATTTCACCTATAAAGTCACATAGAGACTGAAAAGTAAAGAGGTAGAAAAAGATATTCCATGCAAATGGAAACCAAAAAGGAGCAGGAGTAGCTTTAACAGATAAAATGGACTACAAGTCAAAGACTATAAAAGGAAACAAAGAAAGTCACTATATAATGATGAAGGGGTCAATTTTGCAAGATTATATAATAACTATAAATATAATCACTCAACACTGAAACATTTACAAATATATCAAACATTAATAGATATAAAGGGAGACACAGACTGCAATAAATTAATAGCAGTGGACTTCAGAATTCTACTCTCAGCAATGGACATATCATCCCAAAAGAAAATCAGCAAAGAAACATTCAGAGTTAAACTACACAATTGACCTAATGGACCTAACATTTATAGAACATTTCACCCAACTGCTGCAGAATACACATTCTTCTTATCAGCACATGAAACATTCTCCAGCAGAGACCATATCTTAGCCACAAAACAAGTCTCAAATTCAAAAGAGTCAAAATCATATCAAGTATCTTTTCTCACCACAATGGAATAAAACTAGAAATCAGTAACATGAAAAATCTTGTAAACCACATAAACACATGGAAATTAAACATGCTCCTGAATGATCAATAGGTCAATAAAGAAGCTGAGAAAGAAATTTTAAAATTTCTTGAAACAAATGAAAATGGAAATGCAACATACCAAAATCTATGGGATACAGAAAAAGCATACTAAGGGAGAATTTATAGCAAAAAACACCTACATCAAAAAAGTAGTACCAACACTTCAAATAAATGACCTACCTCAAACAATTAGAAAAGAACAAATCAAACCCAAAATCAGTGGAAGGAAACAAACTAAAAAGAGCAAAATAAAATTGAGACAAAAAAATATTTTTAAAGTAATGAATAAAGAAAAGATAAACATTTTTTTGAAATTTTTGAAAAGATAAAAAATTGACAGAAAAGATAAAAATTTTTGAAAAGATAAAAGGTAAGATTTTGAAAAGATAAAAAATTGACAGCTCTTTAGCTAGACTGAAAATAGAGAAGACCCAAATAAAATAAACCAGAAATGAAAAAGGAAACAGCTGATACTACAAAAATACAACGAACCAGTAGAGACTATTATAAACAACTCTACACAAATAAGTTGGAAAATCTAGAAGAAATGGATGAATTCCTGTACAAATACAAATACCAAGACAGAGCCATAAAGAAATGGAAAACCTGAACAGACCAATAGTGAGAAATGAGACTGAAGCAGTAATAAAGTCTCCCATCAGAGAAAAAACCAGGACCTGATGGGTTTGCCTTTGAATTCTACCAAACATTTAAAGAGGAACTAATACCAATTCTACTCAAACTATTTCAAAAAATTGAAGGTCAGAGAATATTTCCTAGATATAGACCAGCTGATGTCATATAACACCAAACCATCATAATCTCTTAAATTGGATTAAGATGATCCCAGGGTACTGGGATCAAATCAACCTTATCAATGAACCCTCAAGCATCTGTTCTTTGAAGTGCCTAATACCCTAGTAAATTTGTAAGTTTCTAATAATTTAATTTTGTTATTATATACCAACCTCTCTGAAAAGAAAAACTGTTATCTTCCCCTGAAAAAGAACACTGGTCTACTCTGCTCTTAACACCCTCTCTAAGCCAAAAACCCACTACAGCACCTTTATAGTTCCTGATGGCTGCTTTCTCATATCAATAAGTCAATGAGCTGAAGGGCTTCAGATTTCCACATGCCCTATTATCTAAGAGCAAAGGTCAAACCACTGTATATAGAATCATTTTCAAAATTCCCTTCCTTTTAGACAGGTTTTATAAATGTACTATTGATGAAGAAAGCAACCTAACAAAGCCAAGCTAAAATTATAGCATTCTAATCACAGAGGATTTTGTTGACTGAGTAAAACACAGATTTGGCCATCAAATGATGATAGTGTCTTCTCTGAAACTATGATACCAGCAGCTCCAACTGTGCCTGCTTCAAGTTGGCAGCATAAATGAGGGCAGAGCACCAAATGTTCCTGTCCTCAGACTAGAGCTCTATAGTATCTCTAGTTGATCCTCTCTGTCTCCCTGGAATTTGTACTAACTAATCTAATCCTTCCAACACTGCCAGCATATACTGAGGGGACTTCCAGATCCTACCTAATGAATACTGGTCTTTTTTAGGCAGCCTGAACTCGTATGGGCAATAAGTACATATAGAGTTGTGTCAGCAAAACTCACTAAAATAAAGACTTAATATTTATAATAAAATGTAAATATCAGAAATATCTCATACCACTAAACACTGGTTATCAGCACAAAAGATTTCCTTTAGTCACAATAAACATCTAAGTTTTAATATAAGGGTTTTTTTCAATGAGGTAAGAAGGAAATAGAATATTCTGGAAACCAAGAGAAGAAAGTTTCAAGAAGTCAGTAGCAGTAGGTCAAGTAAGGTAAGAACTACTAAATTAAGCAACATGGAAGTCACCTGGGACTATAATGAGCTATTTTAGTACTAACCATCATCTAAGAAAATACATAACTCAGTACCTGTAAAGCTTTCTGCTCCTTTTGAAGATCCTTTATTCTATTCTGTTGTTGGCAAACTCTATTTAGGGATTCATCCTCCAATTCACCAATTTTGGATTTCACACTCTCCATAATTTGTTCCAAGTCATTAGCTCGTTGTTCCTGATCTGCTGCTCGGCTTTTTTCTAGCTGAAGTTCATTTCTAATTTAATAGACACACAAATTCTTCCCTTGGTATTAAAAATAAATCAAATGGCCAAACATACCCATCTAACAACGTACTTTCTAAAATTTCTTTGCATTCTTAAATTTTCTATTTTATCTTTTTTCTTTTTTTTTTTTTTTTAATTTTTTGAGACAGAGTCTCACTCTGTTGCCCAGGCTAGAGTGCCATGGCGTTAGCCTAGCTCACAGCAACCTCAAACTCCTGGGCTCAAGCAATCCTATTGCCTCAGCCTCCTGAGTAGCTGGGACTACAGGCATGCACCACCATGCCTGGCTAATTTTTTCTATATATTTTCAGTTGGCCAATTAATTTCTTCCTATTTATAGTAGAGATGGGGTCTTGCTCTTAATCAGGCTGGTCTCGAACTCCTGAGCTCAAGCAATTCTCCCACCTCGGCCTCCCAGAGTGCTAGGATTACAGGCGTGAGCTACCACATTCAGCCAAATTTTCTATTTTATAAAGGTTGTGTATCCATTATCTGAAATGCTTGAGACCAGAAGTGCCTCGGATTTCAAATTTTAGAGTATTTGCATCATGCTTACCAGTTAAGCATTCCAAATCTAAAAATTGAAAATGTGAAACACTCCAGTGACTATTTCCTTTGAGCATCATGTTGGAGCTCAAAAAAATTTGAATTTTGGAACATTCTAGATTTGGGATGCTCAACCTATAACAGAAACTAATAGAAGAAATATAGGGTACCATTAAACATCTAGGCTACACTATTACCAAAAGATTTACATATTAAAATTTTATTTACCTATGAAAATATTTTTAAACTTTTCTATTTAATCAAAATGAAAACTTAAAATTTGAGATTCTTTTCAAGGCAGTTATTTTTAGAATGCATACAAACAATTCAAAAGAAACTTTTCCCATTTTCTTACTTAAGCTGCTGATTACTTTCTACAAGCTCCTGTATCATCGTCTGTTGACGTGACGTTTCTTCCACCAACATTTTCAAATTCTGTCTCATCGTTTGTGATGACTGTTTGTCAAAAATGATTAGATCTACAGTTTAAAAAAATTTAATACAGATAGTAAAAATAAAGGTAAAATAATTTGAAGATAAAAAATTTTAAAAGGAAAAAGAAGCTTTTTACCTTAAGGAGCAAGAAAAAGATCTAATTACCTTTAAGATCTGTCCTTTTGACTAAGGACAAAGGTTTTAAGCCATGCGTCGTCAACATCATATTTATGCTTTCCCATTCTGCTTCCTCTTGCTACAATTACAAGAAGTGAAAAAAAGATCAACTTTAAGACATAAAGTGAAGAAATACCATCTTATATATCATTTCCTGTGTTTTCAGAATAGAACCTTTTTTCCAAAAGGTTTTTTAAATTTTTATATATATATAATTAAGACAAATTTGATTTTTCTAGCAAAATGAGTAATAGACCATAAGTATGTAAATAAACATATGTTGCATTATATAGAGTACTTATGTGGGCCTTAATGGACAAATTATAACAAAACACACCACCACCACCTTATAATTTTAGTGAACCAAATAGATCACAGGTTTTAGATCTAATTAAACTAGACCAGGCCCTGCCAAGAAAAATCAGCTGCAAACTAAGTTATATTAATCAAACAGTAAATAAAAAGTGAGTCACTCAGAAACAATGTCACTTTCATAATTACTAGAGTAACAAAAAAATCAAAACATACCTGACTAGTTGGAGCCAATATTTTAGATAATTCTTTGTATAATGGACAAAGTCTAAATATAAAAAGGAGCCTGTCCATTTGGATAACTGCTCTAGTAGGATCAGCCTGAAGGACACTCTCAAGTCTTATATCCTTAATTCTAAATATGTATTTACATCCTAAACCTGCAAATAGAACCCTAACTCTCTAGATTTAGTGAATAAAAACATAATGGGAATAAGAAACAGGAAAAAAGAACAGAAAATAAAAATTAGAATAGAGATTATTTTTAAAATAACATTTAGATCCATGACATTAACAATTTTAAATCCATTTTTAATGTAAGCGCAATGATCAGTTTTAAAATCACTGTGTGAAGTGCTTTGGATATTTTTTAACTGTTTAAATCATATTTGTGAAAAGGTTACCTGAGTGAATTTTCAATGTTTAAATGCTTAAAAAATATAATTTGTGTAATAAGTTTATTAGTAGTATAGTATATAATAGTTTAAAGATCAATAATTTAAACAATAGACAAAGTACAAATGAAAGTATTACTCTCCATGTCCAAATGTCACTCAAACATTAAAGAATTTATCAACACAAAAAACAACCTTGATGATTCTTTTTTTTTTTTGGAGACAGAGTCTTGCTCTGCTACCTGGCAGAGGCATCATCATAGCTCACTGCAACCTCAAATTCCTGGGCTCAAGTGATCCCCCTGCCTCAGCTTCCCAAGAAGCTGGGACTACCGGTGTGTACCACCACACCCAGCTAACTTTTCTATTTTTGGTAGAGACAGGGTCTCACTCTTGCTCACCTGATGATTCTCTGATAGCACTATGACTCACAGCCAAATAAATCTTTGACTCTGACTTTTTCCTCCTTTTATTTTTTTCTGTACTTCTCCTCCCTCTCATAACTTTCCCCTCATTTACCTTGGGGTGGGGAACCTGTGGCCTTGAAGCCACACGTGGCCCTCCAGACCCCTAAGTGTGGCCCTTCAACTGGATCCAAACTTTACAGAGAAATCCCTTTATTAAAAAGGTTTGCTCTGTAAAATTTAGATTCAGTCAAAATTACATAGAAGAATTCACTAAAGTGGATATCTACTGCGATTCATAAAAATAAAGTGGTCTGGGCCGGGCGCGGTGGCTCACACTTGTAATCCTAGCACTCTGGGAGGCCGAGGCGGGCGGATTGCTCGAGGTCAGGAGTTCAAAACCAGCCTGAGCGAGACCCCGTCTCTACTATAAAAATAGAAAGAAATTAATTGGCCAACTAATATATATATATATATATATATATGAAATTAGCCGGGCATGGTGGCTCGTGCCTGTAGTCCCAGCAACTCGGGAGGCTGAGGCAGTAGGATTGCTTGAGCCCAGGAGTTTGAGGTTGCTGTGAGCTAGGCTGACGCCACGGCACTCACTCTAGCCTGGGCAAGAAAGCAAGACTCTGTCTCAAAAAAATAAATAAATAAAAAAAAAAAATAAAGTGGTCTGTATATAATAGGGTCACATATTCTGAATGATCAAATTATACATATTATTCTCTGATACCTCTTATATTTTAAGAGAAAGAATAAAGTAACTATTTACAGATTCTGAAAATAGTTGGGAAGGGCATTTTCCAAATTATGTGCTGCATACCACTAGTCTAATGAAATGTTCATCAATCTAGCTTATTAAATAAGTAGGAAATGTTGTATACTAAATTCTCCTTTTGGAGACTGATAACATTGTGAAGTCTCAGAGTGATGAAACCATTTAATACTCTTTAACCCAGCCACTGCCCAAAATTATCTCACCAAAGAATCCTTCCAAAATTAGATTTTTCCACTTGTAGATGTAGCATTCTTTGGCTCATACTTTGAGAAACATCAGCTTAAAATATTTCAAGTTTACCTGTTTTTCAGTTATGAGTCTGTTTGATGACTGACCGGACGTCTGGGCTTTAGGGGCTGCTGGAAACATAGTTTCTTTTGTAGAATCAAAAGTAGTAGAGATTGGCAATAAAAAAAAATTTGAGTCACCTAAATAAAAAAAGTACAATAGGAGTTAAAGGAAATTACATTTAAAAGAACCCACTACTCTTGCAGGGCACTTTAGGCCATTCCTGTGTCACAACTTTATGACATACTAGACAGCTGATTATAAGAATCATTTGAATAAACCCTATAATATTCTCCTCTGCAAATAAAATATTCTGGGGTTTTGTACACACACACCCCCACACACACTGAGAGAAAGAATTATTTTTCTTAACTATATGAGTTATGTAACACTAATAAACTGTTACCTTTTGAAAACTGCTTCCCAAAAATCTAAAACAACTGCCTGCCTGACAGTTACAGGCAAATCCAATAATTCACTGGACTCCAAGGATGAATGGAGTGCTACTTTCTTGGGTGGTCTTTATGTCTAGGTAGATAAGAAGCTAGCAACAAAGAACGCTGTTTGGCACCAAAAAAAAGTTTATATTTGATCTACTCTATCATCATTTGCTCTTTTTGTCTAAGATACTGCCATTATATAGGAAAAAAATTTCCTTGGTTTCTTTGATGTATAAATATAATTCTTCCTTTCTAGAAGCAAAATCACACACATTCATTAGGGTTGTGGAATTTTAGAGATTGAGGAGACCTTGGAAACGGTGTAATCCAAAATCTCTAGCTGTTCACAGCTGGCAGGAAAGGGAGTAGGGAGAGTTATACCTATCCATCAGGTACTATAACCATCTAAGGAGCACAGAGGAAAAATGACCTTCCCAGGATTGAGGAGAAATAGGACTCCTGGATGCCAATTCAGTGTTCCATCTAAAGTACCCTTCTGCCCTCATGTATCTGCTTCAGATAGTGAAATCCATTGGAATAATTTACTTGTCACCAATAATTCATTTCTAGCTAAATCTAATAATGTTACAAATTCTCAAATTCTGCCATTTCTACTGTCTGACCTCCCCTTCAAACACTGGTCTCTTTCAACAACTCTATCACCTGCTGCATTAAACTCACCAGTCTTTATTTTATATAAAGTTCCTTTTTGAAAATATCAGCCAACTTCAGCTGCTACCAACTTTTAGCTGGTTTTTTTTTTTAACTTTATATTAGAGAAATTTTCAAAAATACACAAAAGTAGAGAAACAGTTTAATGAACCATGTATTCATCAACCCAGCTTCAATGGTTACCAATATTCTTTCATTCTTATTTTTCCCTTGCCCACATATATTTTAGCATACATCTCTAACACATACAGACTTTTTAAAAATGACCTCAATATCATTATCATAACCAACAGAATGAACAGTAATGCCTTAATATCACTTAATTTCTAGTCCATGTTCAATTTTCTTCCACATGTCTTAAAAAATGTCCTCTTATGATTTTTTTTCAAATCAGGATATAAAAAAGGTCCCTATATAGTACTTGGTTGATAGCATGTTAAGTCTCTTCTAATCTATAACTGTCCCACTCCTTTTTTTTTCTTTTACATGCTATTTATTGAAGAAACAGGCCTTCTGTCTTGTAGAATTACCCATATTTTGGATTTGGTTTATTATATCCTTATTATTTAACATATTTTTCAATCCCCTATATTTCTTATAAACTGGTTATACCTAAAGGCTTAAAAAGTGAGGTTCAGTATTCTCTGGCAAGAATACTTCAAAGGTGATGCTGTGTTCTGCCTACTAAATCACTATCGAGAATCAGTCAGAGATTTAAAGTGGCAAGAATATACCGTGATAGTCAAACATAAGGGTGGCAGATATCAATGTAGAATCCTTCAATAAATGTGGAGCCATAGAGCTCTCACAATCTCCCTAACTGCTACACTGTATGATATGGACAAACTCACTGACATCTTTGAGCCTTATTTCTTCATTTGTAAATGAGAGAAAATAGTAATACTTATACCTAATAGGTTGAATTCAGGCAGATAAAATGTAGAAAGTATTTAGAACAAGTGCCTGGTACATAGGAACTTGTAGATAAATGGCAGTTATTACATATAAGTACTATGAACAAAAAGGATCTTACCTAGTCCTTTATTTTATATCTTAGACATTTTCTCCAAATTATTTAGCTATTTGATACAAGTTTTTTTGACATAAATATGTCTCAGATAAGACTAAATTAAACAAGATTAAAACAATCTACTTTTTTTGGTAGAACTGTGGTTATTAGAGGCTGGGAAGGATAGGGGAAAGGAGGATAGGAGAGGTTGGTTAACAGACACAAAATTATAGCTAGATAGGAGGAATAGTTCTAATGCTCTATAGCACTATAGGTGAATATAGTTAACAATATTTTACGGTTCATTTTTTAAAAACTAGAAGAGAGTATTTTGAAGAAATAATGTTTGAGATAATGGATCCACTATAATAATTACCCTGATTTGATCATTACATTTTATACATGGATCGAGATATCACTTTGTATCCTATAAATATGTACAATTATTATGTGTCAACTAAAAATAAAAGGAAAAAACTTTTTGGTAATGGTAGACCAGTCCAAACTCAGCCTCTAAAGACAATAAAGAAAGCTTAATAAAGTACATTTTTTAAAAAATCCTTCTGACAAGCATTAGGAAATGAACAAGATAAGGAGGAATTACCAAGCCAAAAGAGAAAAACATGAGAAGATGAGAACCCACTTTCTCTGAAGGCATTTGCCAGTGCCAAAGAAAGAGCTCTGAAAATGAGCACTAAAGATCAAAGCCACTCTATCTGCAACCTGGAAGGGTTACACCCTCAGGACAAGGGTGAACCAAGGAGTCAACTACCTCTCCCATGGATCTGAAATCAAGCTTCCCCTCTTCTGTATTGTTTTAGTACCTAAAGAAAGTCCCAGATTAATGGTGCCTCCAAGCACCTGGCAAAAACAAATGAAATCCTCTCTGAAGAAAAGTATCATATTATACCCTCAAAAATGTTTCAATTACAACATCCAGCAAACTGTCAAAGATAACTAAGGCATACAGGAAATAAGATACAAGGAGAACATAAAGAACAGTAAAAGAAAAACCCTACAAAGAAAGACTTCTGATATTATAATTATTAGACACAGACTATAAAACATAATAACCTAGCACAGTCATAGCATTGTAAAAAAAAAAAAATAAAAAAAAGTAAAAAAAAAAAAAAAACATAATAACCTATGCTTATAATGTTCAAAGACATAAAAACCCAAGCTTGAGATTTTGGGCAGAGAACCATAACTGAAAAAGTGACAAAATAGATTTGAAAAAAAATAAAAAATCTAGGAACAACAACAACAAAAAATCACAATAACTAAAATTGAAATCTCAAAGCACAGGCTTAACAGATCAGAAAAGCAGAAGAGAAAAATTTATGAACTAGAAAGCAAGTTAAAAGAGACTATCTAGCCAGGTGCAGTGGCTCACGCCTATAATCCTAGGACTCAGGAAGGCCAAGGTGGGCAGATAGTTTGAGCTCAGTAGTTCGAGACCAGCCTCAGCAAGAGCAAGACCCCGTCTCTACAAAAATAAAAAAAATAATAAAAAACAGGAAGAAACTACCTGGATAACTAAAAATATATAGAAAAAATTACTGGGCATGGTGGCACATGACTATAGTCCAGCTAACTGGGAGGCTGAGGCAGGAGAATCACTTGAGCCCAGGAATTTGAGGTTGCTGTGAGCTACGCTGACACCACGGCACTCTAGCAGGGGCAACAGAGTGAGACTCTGCCTCAAAAAAAAAAAAAAAAAAAAAAGACTATCCACCTTTTTAGTTCTTTATGCTGCATTCAGGAAAATATAGAAGAAATACTCCTCCAAACAGAGAATACATTGATGAAATATAACACATCCATAATTGGTACCCAGGAACAGAGAAAAGAATGAAGCAGAAGCAATATTTGAAGACTTAATGGCTGAGAAAATTTAAGAATCATTACAAGATATAAATCTACACATTCTAGAAGGCAAACATACTTGAAACATGATAAATTAAAAAAAATGTATCTAGATGCATTGTATTAAAATACAGAAAAAGACACGGAGAAAATCTTAAAAATAATCAGAGGAAAAAAGATCATCTTCAAAGGAGTTACAGTTAGAACATCAGCTAACTTCTTAGCACTAATGATGGAAAACTTACAGTGGACTAATATCTTCAATATGCTAAAAGAAAATAATTGCCTATCTAAAATTCTAAATCCAGTGACAACATCCATTAATAATAAAGGCAAAAGTAAGATATTTTAAAACATACAACACAAATCTCAGAGTTCTTCACCAAATCTGTTCTATAAAAAATTCTAAAGAAGATGCTTCATGTAGAAGGAACAATTATCTGATAGAAAGGAGATATAAAAAAAAATAAAGAGCAAAGAAATGGGTAAGTGTACATGCAGACAAACTACATAAAATGATGATGAGATTTGGCTGGGTACAGTGGTTCATGCCTACAATCCCAGCGCTTTGGGAGGCTAAAGCGGGTGGACTGCTAGAGCCTAGGAGTTTGAGACTAGCATGGGTAACATGGGGAGATCCAGTCTCTACAAAAAATAAATAAGTAAATTGGCCAGGCATGGTGGTACATGCCTGTAGTCCTAGCTACTTTGCAAGGCTGAAATAGGAGGATCATTTGAGCCCAGGAGTCCCAAGTTACAGTGAGATAACACTGCACCACTGCCCTCTAGCCTGTGTGACAAAAAGAGACCCATCTCTAAAAATATATATGTGGATATATTTAAAATAATAATGATGAGATCTTCTGACTTTAAAACATATAATTAAAATGCATAATAAGAAAAATATAGGGGGGAGGGAAGGCATGAGCAATATATGTAACTTTAACATTTATACCCCTATAATATGCTGAAATAAAAAGAAAGAAAAATATATTAGCTGGAAGTAGGATAAATAGTGTAATAATGTTCTAAGTTTATCTACAATCCAGGAGGAGGGTGGCAGAGGTACCTGCTAACATCAGGCTTTTGTATTAATAAGTTAGGGATGCTTGAGAACTTCTAGAATAACCACTAAAAAATATTAATACAGCAG